GACTTAAATCCGATTGAGAACCTCTGGTGGGACTTAAAGAAAGCAGTTTGCAGTGCGCAAGCCTAAGAATGTGACTGAACTGGAGGCCTTTGCCCATGAAGAATGGGCGAAGATACCCGTAGATCGCTGCAAGACACTTGTGTCAAGCTATGCTTCACGTTTAAAAGCTGTTATAAACTGTAAAAGGATGCTGTACTAAGTACTAAGAATTGAATGTCACTTGGGGGTTGAATAAAACTGATAAATTGCTGTGAGCACAGAAAAGACATTTGTGGTTATTTCATTATAACTGTTATGTTATATTTGTCTGACCTACAAGTGCCTCTTTAATGTAAATGTAAGCAAGATGACTGAATGATCAAAAGCAATGTCAAACTGGCCAAAAACACTCAATTTTCAGTGGGGGTTTGAATAATTTTGGCCACAACTGTAAGTGATTTGACATGAGGTTGGAAGGAAAGGTTTGAGTCCAAAAGTGACGCCAAGGACTTTGGCTTGCTGGGCGGGATTGATGGTGGTGTGTGTTGGTAGTGATGGATAGGATGGGGGGGGGAATAAGGGTAAACATAAGATCACAATCACATGACATGTCCTATTCGAGGGAAACCAAATGCAAAGTAAACTTCAATGACTCAGACATAGGACAAGGGAGAAAAGCAATCTGTAGCACTGGATCTCAAAATCGCAAACATGCTCTGGTCTCGACCGAGGCCGCCAGCACGGTGCGATAGGTCATCACTGACTGATCCTACATACTTCAAAGTCGGCAAGAGTATTGACTACAGCCCCGTGGACACCGTTACCATGCAGCCTGCAGAAGGCAAGAGCCAACATAATCTCAGCGTCCACAAACAAAATCGGTGTACACATATAATGAGCAGATATTGTACATGAGAGTGAGGAAAGTCTAGTGTAACACACATACCCTGGCGCCTTGTCTCAAGGTGGTTTGAATTTCCTTCGAAGGTGAAATTGGACCAGGATTTGGAGATGAAGCATTGGAAATAGTAGCTCAGATGGGAGAATAGCCAATAAATGGATAAGCGGTAATGCACTGATGTGGGGAGGGGGGGGGATGGAAAAAGTGTCATTCATGATGTGCCTTATGGTGTGCTGGAGAGGCTGGAGGAATGTCCCCAATATTTAGCCGTGGGCTTGCAGGAGAGGACGAGGTGCGGTGGGATAGTCTGCGTTGCCTTGTTCCTACATGATGTCCAGCAGAATGGGCCTCGATTAGTTCCTCTTCTTCATGGGAAGTGAGATGGGATTCGCCTGACCAATTGGGTATGACCACTTTTGGAATGACAAGGGCCTCACAGAATGGTGCTACATCCTCCGGGAATCTCAGGAGAGCTGATACCCCATGTGTGTTGCTGAGAGGCGTAAGTCCTTTCTGCGTTGCAAGGTAAGATGGGATAGATCTTGAAAAAATTTAACGTCTGCTCCATTGTAGAGCACACGATTGCGATCCCTTGCTCTACGCAGTATTTCTTCTTTAAGACGGAAATCAACTAGGCAACAAATTATGTCTCTCGGGGGTCAGTCTCTCTACCTCTCAGGCGCAGCGCCCTATGGAGGCGTTCAAATTCAATAAGAGACTCTTGCGGTCTTTCTATCAGATCATTAAAAATGGTTAAGAGCATTTGGATGAGTTGTCCAGAATCAATTGTTTCAGGGACACCGCAAACCCTTAAATTATGATGCCGCCCCCTGTTGTCCAGGTCTTCGATGTGATGATCAAGCTCTCTTAGGTGCATAGTGTGCATATCTACCAGCGTGCGAATATCATGAATGGCAAGGTCTTGTGTGATGACTTTATCCTCCACCGCTTCAAACCTTTGGGCTACCGCTGTTCTGGGAAGGGGGTCTCTGGTCCACAGGAACCCCCTCCCACCTCAAACCGCACTCACCCGGCTCCTGTGTGGTGATGAGTTCAGCCGCCGCCGCGGCTCCAGTAGGCCGCACTAAGGCTGCAATGGATCGCTGCAGCGGAGGGGGATGATATGCACCCAATTCACCTCCGCTGTGCACCCGCTAGTGCCGCGGTGACCCCGCCTCATGCTTCGGGTCCACAGCCGCCCGGATGAGTTTAGCCACCGTGGCGGCTTTAGCAGGCCGTGCTAGGCCACAATGAATCGCTGCCGCGGAGGGGGGTGATATACACCCGGCTCACCTCCGCTGTGCACCCGCTAGTGCCGTGGCGATTCCTCCTCTTGCTCCGGGTCTGCTGCCGCCTGGATGGCAGCGGATTCTCTATATCTCCGTCGGAGCTCCAGATCATGTCCGGTCTTGTCCGGTTGCCATCTTGGACATGCCCCCACTTGACACATTTTTTTTTTAATCGTTCGTGTTGGGGAAAAAAACGGCCGATTTTGCCCATCAGCCGATTTTCACGGCAATGATGGGCAAATCGGACGATCTTTTTCCCGATTAAAAAAAATGTGCTTGAGCTGTGACCAAAGAAAAAGAACATCTGTATCTATTTGTATCCATACAAATAGATACAATGTTTGCAACCGCAATACTTATGTCAAATCTATTAGCGGTGTCCCTGCAGAGAGCTCCGCTATGATATTTGACATTTAAAAGTATAAAAAGGGTTGCAACATTGTATCTATTTGTATCCGAATAGAAACATCTGTATCCGAAATGGATACAAATAGATACAATGTTGCAACTTTTTCTTCTTATTATTCACATTCTATTTCTTCTTCTTTTAAATGTCAATTATAGCGGAGCTCTCTACAGGGACACCGCTATTATATTAATTGCCGGCCGTAGACGGGACGAAAATCAGCCAACTTTTTTTACCAATGGTGGTAATGTCGGCTGATTGAACGACCGGTTTTTCGTTTTTCTAAATAAAAAATGGCAGGTTTTCTCCCCGTCTATGGCCCGCATTGTACCATATTTACAATTAGTCCCAATAAACTTTTTGAACAAGTTAATTGTATGAAACTTGTTGGGCAGAGCAGGATTCTTGTGATATCTTTAGGCATGTGAGGCTACACACATCCGGAAAAAGTACGGACATAGGAACCAATTACAAGCTTAATATCTTGATGCTGGGTCACAGCATAGCAGTATGTGAGTGCAATTTAACATTTTAAGCTGTTTTTTTATACAATGAGGTTTATACAATGAATATTTGTAAGCTTTTTCCCCTTCTATGGTGCTTTGGAGTTATATGTGAAAGCCACCTAGGGGTGAAGAATCAGTTCTTGGAGCAGAAATAGGAGGATTTATGTACTGAGGCTGGTTTTGACCATCTCAATAAGCAAGTGGTCAGTATTATCAGGTTAGGATATCACCATGGGGGAATCTCATACTGAAGTGTGACCATCATCTCATCACTTTCCCACCAATGACCACCCATAGCTGGGTCATCATTTGATCTATGTCAGTGCCAGGGATATGGTTAGGATCAAAGTTCATGTTCAAAATCAAATTCAGGATAAAAAAGCAGGGTCAGTGTATTCTAGGCAGAATAAAAACAGCATTTTAAATAAAGTGTCAGTGCCAGTGCCAGTGCCAGTGTAGATACGATATAAATGCAAAATGGGCACTATTGTTTCTGTGCCCTACTATGGGTACAAACAACAAATATACACATATATGGTATCACCGTGATCATAAAAAGTAGGAGAATGATGTAAAAATATTAAATCTGTGCCACGTAGTACTTTACAATCATAATGAACTGAAAATTACACTCACCGGCCTCTTTATTAGGTACACCTGTTCAATTGCTTGGTAACACAAATTGCTAATCAGCCAATCAAATGGCAACAACTCAATGCATTTAGGCATCTAGATATGGTGAAGACATGCACATGTGTGTGGACAAGCTTCACAGCCTATGTGCTCAAGGGCACACCCTTGTTGGAGCCAGATTGCCTATTAGCTGTGACTGAAGATTGATGGTTGGTTTTCAACTACTTACTCTGTCACCTGTGCACCCTATCCTTTTTTATTTGACCTTCAACTGTTCAGCTCGCTTGTCTTTCATGGCTTGTTCCTGTTTACCTGTTGCTGACCTGCTTTGTTTGCCGAACATGGCTTGTATCTGTCTACATTGGCACTATCTACATTGTCTCCATTGGCACTCAGGCTGTGATACAGCGGTGGTTCTCCTCTGCTGGACATGTTGGTATTTTAGATGTTCCCTTGGCAACATAGTCTCTCATTTGGTTCCATTTGGTTCCATTGTTTTCTTGGGTGACCCCAGTGTGAGAATTCTGGGGGTGTTTTCCTGTTCTCCCCACACTCTGTTCATACCCATCCTGGGATGCCTTGAGAAGTTGGTGGTGGACACAGTAATAGGAGAATATTCTGTCTTTTGAAGTTTTGGCAAGTACATTTATTAAAAGGAATTGGATGAATGCTTTTTGGCCCTTCCTTTTCTTCAGCTTACTCCTGAGGAAAGACTAAGTTCTGAAATGCGTTGGTTTTCCCAGTTGAAGTCAATTTGTCTTTCTCTCCTCCCTTGAACAATTCGAAGAGGGAGAGTTTATCTTTACAGCAAGTCAGCATGTTTCTAAGTCACCACCTTTTATATGTTGATTTTAACTGTCTGTACAACATGTTGATCTAATAAAGTTATAACTTTTTGTAATAAAATTAGTTTTTTCTATATATAGATATGTGTATGCTGCCTGAAAAGTCCCAACACATTTAAGGGGAAAAAAAACTTTCTGTCTACATGTTGCTGATGCATATTGTCTCTGGAGCACAGCATGATCCTATCTAAAAGCTGCTAGCCAGGTGTGTTTCCTGACCATGGTTTGTTCTTGTCTACTTGTTGCTGATCCAGTCTTTCTCTTGACTACAGCTTGTTCTTGCCTATCTGTTGCTGATCTAACTTACATTCTAACTACCTGTCCGCTACTTGAACATTGCCCTGCATACCACACCTGTGGCAAGCTCATGTCTACTGGTCTACTGCACCTAGGGAGAATTCTTTGGCCAAGACTTTCTCTCCAAGTCAGGGGCGGACTGACCATTTGAGCACTCGGGCATTGCTTGAGGGCCCAAGGTCAGTAGGGGGCCCCATGAAATGCCCCTGTTACCTTTTTATGGGCTTTTTTGGGTATGCTTTGAGTGTGGGCAAAGACACAGGGGCCCCATGATCCCCTATTGCCTGGGGGCCCCATGAGTTGTCAGTCCGCCCCTGCTCCAAGTCATCTCTCTGGGCCAGTGTTACCAATATGGGACTGTCTGTACTCATACTACTCTGCACTCTTGTGTTGTCTGCCACCACTCCAGGGAAATTTACACTAAAAGTGCAGGGGAGGCCCCCTTATTACATGGTTTCCAACCAGGTACTGCATGTGTTAAAAATGTGAGTACATCCTTTAAGGACCAGTAAGCTGCAATATACTATATTTTTAGTTCTTGGATTTACAGAATGGTCAAGTCATGCAAGAAAATGCACTGTGCTACAGAGTAATCTTATTGAATAATGAGTGCAAGGACAGCAATCCCAGTTCAGGACTGATTTAGCTCTGGTGTGAAATTCTACTAATTAGTAAGAATGCATCAGTAAAGTCAAAAAGAAAACAGTTGGGAAAAAGTTAGTCAAAATACTTATCTTACTCCCAGCTTCTACACACAGCAACTAGATGAGGGTGACATCGCAATCCTTCCAGCAAGATCCTGGGGAGAGCCGAGTCTACCAAATCACACAAGATGATGTACCAGCACAGTGCGGGAACAGATTCTCATGAGATTTGGGGTATTCAGCTTTCAGAAGGGCCTCACCAGAAGGATAGTGATTCCATATCCTGCAATGTGGAAACCATTGTGGAAGTGAGTGTATTGACTAACTTTTTTCTGTTTTGGCATATTTTGGGAAAGGCTTGACTAAGTAAGTGCTTCATAATAAATAGGTTGTTTTGTAATGTAAGGTTCATAATATACAAAGACAAACAACAGTATTGTACAATACCGTTTTGCAGCCAGACAGAAATCACCATTCATTAAGCTGCCCACTCTAGCTTCTCAAAATTAATTCTGCCCGGCTGTCATGTGTAACAGGCATTACGCCACTGTGCTTTGCATTCTGAAATCAAATAATCACATCTGTTCTACAAAGCCATGGTAAGAAAGATGTTCCTGTGTGACACTTCTCTCATTCACAAGATGCTCAGAGTGGTCTAATAACTAGAGGAGGCAGGCAGTTTTGTTATGTACAGCCACATAATGAAGAGTCTGTATAAATAGATTGACGGTGTCAAGAGCAGCCAATAGATCAAGTGGCATAGCTATAGAGAAATGACCTTTAGATTCAGCAATGTGAAGATTATTTGCTACATTGCAGAGGATTTTCTTCAGAGTGAGAAGAACTAATTTTAGCTTGTGATGGCTCAGAATGTTATAATTCATTTCATTTAAAAATAGCTTATAAGAGCAGCTTACTACAATTAGATTACTTTTTCATTTTATTCAATATATATGTTTGTACTTTAGTACAAGAACGTTCTTTCTGGATGACTTTTATAACTTTGTTAGAAAAAGTATATCACTTAACCAATTCTTTTAAAGGTGCAAATAAATGTTTGATTTTATTTCCACTGTAAATTAGAAATATGGAACATTTCTCATCAGGGGCGGACTGACCATTTGGGAACTCGGGCAGTGCCAGTTCAGTAGGGGGCCCTATGAGATGCCCCTGGTACCTTTTTCATAGGCTTTTTTGAGTTTGGGCAAGGACACAGGGGCCCCATGATCCCCTATTACCCGGAGGCCCTATGAGTTGTCAGTCCACCCGTTTCTCATATCAAGTATTAGTACATGTACTGTATATATTTTTTAAATGAGCAGCTTAACTAATAATACTTTTATTCAGCTGTGTATTAGCATTATATTATGATGAACAGATTTTACTAACTGAAAAAGTAAACATTTCAGTAAAATGCAAGGTGAGCTTTCACTGCCCTCACCTTCACAAATTATCTACTATAGTAGGTGTAAAAGGTACCTATAAAGAAAAATAATAGGGTTTATACTTACCTAACACCCTTCTCTTGACCATAGTGCCATGCTGTCACATTCCTTCAGCTTGGTCCTGGAGAGAATTCCATAATTTTCAAGATCCATCTTGAAATGGACTAGAGTGTCTTGTCCTGAGGTTTCACCTGCTTTGAATTCCCAAGGTATCTTCCTAGAGGGTCAAAGAAGTCATGCCCAGTGACGGAGAAGAAAAAGGCTATGTAAGAAAAATTCAAACTTAGTTGCCTTTTACAGCTAGGGTCCACAGGGTCTGCTTTAGGACTCAACTCATTTCAGAACAGGCTTTTCTCACACCCAAGACTGATTTCTATTGTGTTTTTGACAACCGTATGTAGTTTTTTGTAAGCTACTGCATGATCATCAAATAGTGAAATGAAAACTATTAAATATTGTTTAAGGGTGAATATGTATTTTATAATTTATGCTAAAAAAATAGCCCACCCACCATCCCCCATAAAGTTATATGCTAAGCAAACTGTAGAACACAGAAAAAAGTTAGGAATTCAAGCCAGAGGCACATTTGCTACTAACTAAATTTAAAGTGGAACTAAACCGTTTTATCCTTTACAGCAGGGGTATCAAACTGTCAGCCCTCCAGCTGTTACAAAACTACAAGTCCAATCATGCCTCCACCTTTGGGAGTCATGCTTGTAACTGTCAATCTTGTAATGCCTCATGGGACTTGTAGTTTGGCAACAATTGGAGGGCTGCCAGTTTGACACCTGTGCTTTACAGCCAAGGAAGCCTCCATCTTGATCTACAGTTACCATAGTGCTGTACATTTGATCAGGTACAGTATGATACTGGCTACTGTGAGGAGGCAGCAGTCTTGGTAAATGTAGGGTTTACTTCTTCATATCATAGCCTTCAGCAAGGATGACATTGAGCAGCACAGCAGTAAAATCAACAAATCTCATTCCCAATCTTCCAAGACAGGTAGAAGCAGAAATGCGTTAGACCGCACACTCCAGACTATTGCTATACAACTAATATACAACAATTAGATTGTAGGCACCCTCACATACCAGGAAGTACACTGTTATTTTATGAGGGAATTTAAGACAAAAGGTACATTTTCACGTTAGTGTTTAGGCATAATTAACATTGTTCCTTATAACAAAACAAAGCTTTACTTTTTGAGTTTAGATCCACTTTAATACCTTAGTAACCCAGGACCATGGACTGCACCCAGGCAAAGAGCTCTCTTATTAAATGCTAAGACCCCCCTATAATTATGCAGAGTGTAATATCAGTATTCAGGATGAAGTGAGACTAACTTTGCTGCAATCAAAGAGCACTCTATAGGCTGTAGAATTCACCTAAACAGTCATATAGCTACAGAGAGGCTTTAAAGCTGGCCATATATGGATCAAAATTCAACTACCGGTAGTTCAGCAGGGACCGGTTGAATTTAGATTCTTGTATGGGCACTGTAGTTGAACAGAAGTCAGTCCACTGATTGACTTCTGTTCAAGCAGCCTATTGGAAAATTTCTGCTCGATCAGCGCTGCAGGCTATAGCCTGTAGTGATGGTGAGTGTATTCTGGTGGCAGGGAAGTTTCCCATGCTGTCAGAATACAGAGACACAGTGGGAAAGAATCCCCCATCCATACATTTGAATCTGGTCAGTTTTTTTTTTCATTCAACCCCCTGGTTGAACAAAATAACAAAAAACACTGACTATGGGCTTCCTTAGCTAATGTGCAGTATTTAAAGGTTTCAGGTAAAATGAAGAAATAACTGCAAATAAACCATTATCTGTCTTGCTCAGACCATTATGGCATACCTTATTGTCTGGCAGTTGGAAAGCATAATGCCTTATTTTGGTGCTATGGATAATATTCAGTATCATATGTTATGTCCCCTAGTAAAAAAAAAAAACAAAAAAAAAACGTTGGAACATTTAAGTAAGTGCAGGCTTCAGATGCAGCAGGCTCAATAAAAAGGTCACATTTAGCCACAACTTTTACATTAGCCTTTGGGCAATGTATAGTCTTCCACTATGTGGGACAAATAGAAGAAGCAGAATGCTAAAAATAAAGTTGTTTTCTATGTGAGAACCATAGCTTTATGCACTGGAATAACACATAACAATGTTGTTTTTCATGTTGTGAACATGCAAATTCAAACTTGGCCCATTGGTCAGTTCTTCAGTAAAGATAGACAATTGAGAATACAATAATGAAAAAAACCTCAGCATAATCACCCTAAAACAATGCAAACTAATGAAAGAAGAAAATCTCTAAAAGTAACATATAACTAATGTTAGTACTGCTGCTCACACTTTTTGTGTTCCCACAAAAAAATTTAAAAAAGGTATAAGTGACACAGTGCTGCACAGTGCCAAACCTTCCCAGTGGCAAACCTTCATGTGCCATGCAATATCACACAAAATCATACAACAAAGTGAATTAGGTAGATATGCATATATCCTATGAGTTTATGTCCAAACATAGAACATGCCTAGAATGTATGCATTTATTTCATCACAATATTATCATTTTTAGAAACCCAACTCTGTTGCTAAAATGTGCATTTTTATTTAGTCCCTTTGTACTGTTGTAAAACATGTACCTTCCAAAAAAAAATAATATTCATTAGGATTGCTCCAAATACCATCTATAGAATAATTATCCTAAGCATGTGCATTATGTCAATAGACTTCACAATTCATTCTGTTATAACAAATAGATGACAAATCAGGTCACAGTCATTCACAGATGTACCCACCACCTGTCTGTCCTTTCTGAAGTGCCGTTTCAAAGCTATTTGTGGAGTTATCAACATAGTAGTGTAAAGGACTATACCCTTTTTTCTAACCCCCATGGATACTATTCTAGATTTGACCTGTTCTTGGTAGATAGAGATCTTTTGAAGAATGCGGTGCATTCTTCTTCTATTGGTGTTATCAGTTTGTCTGACCATGCTCCAGTCGCCTTTAAGATTTAGGCAACTAATTGGAATAAGTTCCCTTTAGACTAAATGCTTCTATCTTAAGTGACCAAATTAGGGAAGAACTAGAGAATGTTTTTCAGTATAATGCAAAGGATGATATGAGTGATTTTATACTATGAAACATATAAAGTGTACATGAGGGAAATTTTGATAAAATAGGTTTCATATAAAAAAGGTCTTGCAAATTGGAAACATAGCACTAGACCTGTAGGGTTATCTTACTGACATTGCTATACTAAAATATATACAGTTGCAAGAAAAAGTATGTGAACCCCTTGGGATTACGTGGAGTTTTGCATGAATTGGGCATAAAATGTGCTCTGAACATCATCTAAGTCACAACAATAGAAGAACACAGTCTGATGAACGTAAAACTACACAAACATTAGATGTTGCCATGGTTTCATTGCACATAACATGTAAACATTCACAGTGCAGGGAGGAGAAAGTATGTGAGGCCCTAGCTTAATGACTTCTCCCAGAGCTAATTGGAGCCAGGAGTGAGCCAACCTTGACTCCAATCAGTGTGATGATATTCGATGTGTTGCTGACAGCTGTCCCGCCCTTAAAAACCACACACCTGTTTTGGGTTTACTGGTTTCAAGAAGCACTGTCTGATGTGAACCATGCCTCGCAGAAAAGAGCTCTCAGAAGACCTATGATCAAGAATTGTTGACTTGCATGAAGCTGGAAAGGGTTACAAAAGTATCTCCAAAAGCCTTGATGTTCATGTGTCCATGGTAAGACAGACTGTCTACAAATGGAGAAAGTTTAGCACTGTTGCTACTCTCCCTAGGCGTGGTCGTCCTGTTAAAATGACTGCAAGAGCACAGCACAGAATGCTGCATGAGGTAAAGAAGAATCCCAGAGTGTCAGCTAAAGACCTACAGAAATCTCGGGCACATGCTAACATTTTTGTTGACACATCTACAATAAGGAAAACATTAAACAAGAATGGAGTACATGGGAGGACACCACGGAGGAAGCCATTGCTGTCCAAAAAGAATATTGAGGCACGTTTGAAGTTTGAAAAAGAGCACCTGAATGTTCCACAGCACTACTGGCAAAATATACTGTGGACAGATGAAACCAAGATTGAGTTGTTTGGGAAGAACACACAACACTATGTGTGGAGAAAAAAAGGCACAGCACACCAACATCAAAACCTCATCCCCACTGTAAAACATGGCGGAGGGAGCATCATGGTTTGGGGCTGCTTTGCTGCCTCAGGGCCTGGACAGATTGTTGTCATTGATGGGAAAATGAATTCCAGAGTTTATCAAGACATTTTGCAGGAAAACATATGACCATCTGTCCGCCATCTGAAGCTCCGCAGAGGATGGGTGATGCAACAGGACAATGACCCAAAGCATACAAGTAATTCAACAAAACAATGGCTGCAACAGCACAGAATACGCCTTCTGGAGTGGCCCAGTCAGAGTCCTGACCTCAACCCGATTAAAATGCTGTGGCATGACCTCAAGAGAGCGATTCACACCAGACATCCCAAGAATATTGCTACACTGAAACAGTTTTGTGAAGAGGAGTGGTCCAAAATTACTCCAGATCGTTGTGCAGGTCTGATCTGCAACTACAGGAAACGTTTGGTTGAGGTTATTGCTGCCAAAGGAGGGTCAACCAGTTATTAAGTCCAAAGGTTCACATACTTTTTCTTCCCTGCACTGTGAATGTTTACATGTTATGTGCAATGAAACCATGGCAACATCTAATGTTTGTGTAGTAGTAGTATGTTCAGCAGAGTGTGTTCTTCTATTGTTGTGACTTAGGTGACGTTCAGAGCACATTTTATGCCCAATTCATGCAAAACTCCACGTAATCTCAAGGGGTTCTCATACTATTTC